CCGAAGTACTTTTAAACCAGGGCGGCAACGCACTTGTTTCCGGGTGACATTTAGCCCGTTTATTATTATTATTATTGAAATGATGGCCTTCAGTAACTGAACTATGCGAGGACAATGATGATGAAAAACGGAAGTGATGGAAACGGGAAAAATAGGACGATGATCGTGAATAAAGATAGAATTCCTTTCTTTCTTTCTTTATTTATTTAATTTTTTTATTTTTTTTATTTTTTTATTCATTTGTTTTATATTTCCAACAGACACGCGCAACAGCTGCGCAGAGTAGCGATGATGCAAAAAATTTAGTACGATTATGTTTTTTTTTGTATTTGTTTTGTGTTTCCGAAGAGAGGTGCGAGTGAATAAATACGTAACAACGGAACTTTTTTTTCTTCTTATTGGTTTTTTTTGTGTGTATGTGTGTTGGATACAGAGTTGCAGGAGAGAAGGAAGTGCGAATCCCACGAGTGCCGGTGGTGTGAGTCGCCCGTTGATGACGCAGCGGAGGGAAGAGAAGGGACGGTACCGTGGCAGGACACGCGGTAGCGCGAAGGGCGCTGGCAGGTATCGTTGGAAATTGGCGCTTTTGGCTTCCGTGTGTCTCTGTCTTGTGGTGTATCTTCTGCAGGGTGAAGATGACGCCATTGCGTCTGTCATTTTGGCGAATGACACACAGGACCTTCTTTCTGCGCTGAGGTTGGCGAGGGAGAAGACAAGCGTCAACAGCATCCACACCGTCACGGATTGTATGATGCGGGTTGGTTTGACGCTGGATGGCATGTTGGCCACTGCAGACGATAAATCAACAGCAACAGCCACTCAAAAAATTATGACGCATACCGTGGAAACTTATCGACTGGCAACAGCGTTTGTTTTGGAAATACTTTCCCCCTTGCTCCAGGAGAAGCCAAGGGATGTCGTGCTACAGAACTATCGCGCCGAGCCAAAGTTTCTGTGGCGCTGGATAGCTGTTGCTGCCTACGCCTTGACGACCGTTTTGCCTGAGTACTTTCTTGCTCTGGACGACACAGAGACCCACGGTGAGGTTCTGGTGATGGGACTGCACGTGTTATTGCATGCATCAAATGCGGCTTCCTCGTCGTATTTTTCTCCTTTATTGCCAACTGAACGTGCGGCCCTTGTTGATTGCATCCATTACGAGAAGAATCCCCGCTGGGAAAAGTTTTGCAGCAGTGGGTTTTCAAACCTCCATGGCCTGGAAGTTCGCCGCGCTGCCATTCTTGAGGAACTTATTGCACTTTACCCGGAATATGCCCCATTGCGACTTCATTATGTTGTCGCACTCTCCCTGGGACGTCATGCTGCAAAGA